CCTTAAATAAGTTCAAACAAGCATTAACAGTATCAAATTTTTACAAATTTCATATATATATAATCCAAATATATATTTCATAATCCAAAGAGAGATCACGCGGATCTACTCACTAATATTTTATATAAACGTATACGTGAAGTAAAGAATATAAAATCAACAAAATAAGTAAGAATAAACTTTTTACAAATATAAATAAGAAAAGGCAAAGTTATTAATTTATATTATTAATAATAACATAATACGTCTTCTAATGAAAAAATTAGGGTTTTTAATTTACTTTTAAAAAAAACGAAAAGTAATGGGTAGTTCGAAATCAAAATTGGGCAAAACGATTTTATTCCAAAGGTGTGGTGCCCGATAGACAATACAAAATTGATTAAAGTTCGTTTGACAGAAAGGTTCATTTAAAAAATCAGTATTTCTCAAATTGTATTTGTTGATGGGTTTCGGAGTAAAAATATCTTTGAAGACAGATTGAGACAAGTCATTTTTCCACATGTATACAAAACATAAAACATTATATATATTTAGCTCGTATATATTTAAAATTCTCATTTCAATAAAATAATGTTTTGCGTGAGAAAAGCGATTTGCAAAGCAGATTAAACGGATAGCATGTTTCTGACGGCGATAAAGACGTTGCAACTTACTTTTTTCTGTACTACCCCAGGCGATATTAGCATAATTTAAATAACTGTGTATAAATGAATAATAAAGTTTGATTAAAATTTTCTTATTAAGGTAGATTCGTGCTTTATATAAAACTCCTATGTTTTTTGAAATTTTAGTGCTTATGTAGTCGATATGATGATTCCAAGTGATGTTTTCATCAAGGTAAACACCTAAAAATTTTGTTACGGAATCCCTTTTTATTTCATTTTGATCAATAAAAATTTTAGGTAAGTTTAATGGCAAATATCGTTTTTTGGAAAGCGAATGGAATAAGGTCCACTTTGTTTTATTAGAATTTAGAGTTAACTTATTACATTTAAACCAACTCGATACATGTATAAGCTCTTTGTTCATTGTTTTAAAAAGTTCAAAGATATCACTGTTAGAAAGAAATAAGTTAGTATCATCTGCAAACATAATACTTGTTAGTTTAGAGGCTTTATTTAAATCATTAATATAAATTAGGAAAAGGAGTGGACCAAGAATTGAGCCTTGTGGGACTCCACATGTTATAGAAAGACAATTGGTATGATAACCGTCATTACTCGGAACAAATTGTTTACGATTTGACAAATAGCTTTCAAACCATTTTAAAACTTTATTTTTTATTCCATAGTGTTTAAGTTTATAGATAAGAATTTGGTGATCAACCGTATCAAAAGCTTTTGATAGATCAATAAAAAGTCCTAGAGTATATTGTGATTTTTCAAATGATTTTGAGATTTCCCGTACAAATTGGATAATTGCATGTTCAGTTGAGCTATCCTTTTTAAAACCGAATTGATTAATGTTAAGTAATTTATTAACATGAAAATATTTGTATACTCTGTTATATATAATTCTTTCTAAAATTTTTGAAAAGGTGGAAAGAACAGAAATAGGGCGATAATTACTTATAATTGATTTGTTCCCTTCTTTAAAAATAGGAATAATTTTGGCAATTTTTAACAGTTCGGGGAAAACACCTTGATGGATAGAAGCTTTAAAAACTTTAAAAAGAACAACTTTTAGCTGTTCAAAACAATCTATAATAACGTTTCCATTTATTTGATCTGCTCCAACTGCTTTATTTTTTTTTAAAGATTTGAAGGCTCTTTCAAACTCTTCAAACAGCAATTCAGAAGACAACTCAACTGAACCAATGCAATTATCAATGGGTACTAGAAAATCAGTAAATAAAGATTTGGTGTTTGGGATTTTTTTAGAAAGTGTTGGACCTATATCGATAAAAAATTTGTTAAATTCTTCTTGGTTCGTATAAACTTTTGTTATCGACTCTAACCATTTGTGGCAGAAAACCTGAGCATGATTTTTGTTTTCCAATAATTTCATTCATTATTTGCCATGTGCGTTTTGTGTCATTTTTAAATGTATTGAGTAATTGGGAGTAATAATTTTTTTTTAGATTTTTGCGAATTTTTTCAAATAGGTTTTTGTAGTCCTTGTAAATTTTTTCGTTTTTAGGTGTTTGTGTTTTCAAAAAATTTATATATAGTTTTTGCTTAATTTTGGACGATTTTTTAAAGCCCTTAGTGATCCAGGGTGTATTTAAGCTCTTAGTAGTTATTTTATTTTCAATGATTGGGAAGTTAGCATCGTATACAGAAAAAAATGTTTTGAAAAAAGACTCATAGATATTGTTAGCATTATCATTAAAATTTATGTTATTCCAGTGTAGTAATGAAAGTTGATTTTTGAATAAATTAAGGTTAGCCTCATTATAAATGCGTTTTCTAATTACTCTTTGTGCGGTTAAAGTTTTTTCAGAGTTTGTATTATCTAATTTTAGGAATATAGGGAAATGATCTGATATATCGGTTCGCAAAATACCTACTTTTAAATCATTGTTGAAAATATCTGAAGTTATTATATTATCTATTAGAGTTGCTGAATTTGTCGTTACTCTTGTAGGTTTGTTTATTAAAGATACTGATCCCGTTTCAAAAATTTCATCATAAAAATTTTTAACTTTAAGGTTATCATTATAAAGAAAACAATTCATGTTTAAATCTCCAATTATAAAATTTTGTTTTTTTTCAACGGTACCTTTTTTAATAATTTGTTGTAAAAACATGCTAAAGTTTTCGCTTACGCCATCAGGTGGCCGATAACAACAGCTTAGTAAAATTTTTTTTTTGTTGCAGTTAGTAATTTCTATAGTTGCAATTTCTTTATCGCAGTCAGAAACGCTCAAATCATGCCTAATACAATGCTCAAAATTTTCGTGAACATAAATTAAAACTCCACCACCGCGCTTATTTGTTTTCCTTTCCATTAAAAATGTATTAAAATGAGGTAGATGAAAATTATTTAGGTCTTCTAATGAAATCCAAGTTTCTGTTAAACAAATTATATTAAAAACATGTTTAGTTTCTTCTAATAAGTCTAAAAGTTTTTCAAAATTGCTATTTAAGCTTCTTATATTGAGGTGGAGAATTAACATTTGATTATTATTTCTTTCATTCTCATTCTTAAAAAGAAACCCTTCTAGTTGGCTAGGAAAGTAATATGAACAATCTGAAAATTTATTGTGATAAATATTGTAATCAGAGTCTAAATTTTCATTTAACGTAGAGTAATTTGTTTTTTGAATTTTAAAAACACGAGATTCAAAGTTTTCATTTGTAGCCATGATTAATATATTTTATTTAAGATTTCTTTTTAGGAATGCCCATAAAATTATTCGTTAAAATTGTTTTTAAAAGAAGTTTTAATATAAACAATTTTGTCATACCTTACCGTAACACTTTCACCATTCAATCGCCTTTCTTTCACTTCAGCGAACAATTTTTTTCGAATAGCGACGGTTTCTCGAGAAAAATCTTCGTTCACGAACGTATTTGTGCCTTTGAGTCGATACAATTCCTTCAATATTCTTATTTTGTCTTTATATTTCTGAAGATTTAATATTATAGTCCTTGGTCGTCCATCGTTTTTTCGTCCAGTGCGGTGAGCTCTTTCAATTTCAACATCTTTTAGTCCAAGTTTTTCGGTGAAGAATGTTTGGACTTTTTTTTCTGTATCCCCCCATGATTCTTTATCATTCTCGTAAATTCCTTCAATCCTAAGATTGTTTCGGCGCGATCGATCTTCTAAGTTTCGTTGTTTTTCTTTTAATACATTATCTATTTTTGTATGTTCCATTTTTTTATCTAGATATTTGTTGTTAGTAACTATTTTTTCGTCAATAAGTCCTTCATTAAAATTAAGGCTTACCTTTATATCTTCTAATTCTTTTGTTAATTTCTTTATACAATTTGCATTTCCATCAACATTTTTCTCTACTTTTTCAAATCTATCGTTTATTATTTTGATGTTAGCCCCAATAATATCGAGAACTGCTTTTTCTTGCTTTTGAAACATTTCTTCCGTTTCCTTTTTAAATTCTTTGAACATTTCTTTTAAAAGTTTCTTTATTTCTGGAAGTGTTACAGCCATATTATTAAGTTAAAATTTTTATTAAAGATGTTATTAAAGTCTTTATTTATAATAAATAAAAAGTTTTTTTTTTTTTTTTTTTTTTTTTTCGCCACGAGGTAAAAAGTGCGTCCGTTCTTGTTGAAAGCTTGAGTTGAAATTTAACTTAAGCGTTTCTAAAATTAATATACTTTTTATTTAACTGATAGATTAATCATAAGGATATTTTGCATTTTTAGAAATAGTTTTGAGGTAAATTATTTTTTTAGTAATAACTGTCTAAGTTTAGCTTTAAACTCTTTAATCTAAATCTTAGGTTATGCCTTCTTAGTACAATTTTTTAATGATTAAATACTCTCAACTCAGTGGGCACAGGACCTAAACATGACGTTTTTAAACGTCTAAAAGACGTCCAAAACATCCAAAAGACGTTTAAATGTTTTCTTTTACGTCTCGTGCCTACTGAGAAGGAATCTCACTTTTCTCAAATAAAGGTAGGTGTAAATTAAAAAAAAAAAAATTAAACCTTCCTTTATTTAGCTATTTATGATTTTCCACAACTGCATCCAACTTTACTATAATTTTGCAACAAGCTTTTCTATAATTTTATTTTTTTGTTAAAAACTAACATTATGTTTTTATGGTAAGGAAAGAATATTTTCGTTTTATCAGAATTGTTTTCTTTAAATAAAGGGATCGTCAATAACTTACGCAACGCATTTTATAAAAATATAAGTAGGAGAATATTTTGCTCTTTTGAGCGGCGGCTTTCGCTGGACTTGAAGGGTTGTTTATACATGGTTTAATTAAAGACGGAAAAACATTTAACACTTTTTCTTTTGTTTATTAGTTAAATTTCGCGTTACGTAATTTATGGACGATCCAAAGGTTAAAAAAATTCCTTTGACTGAAAGCGTATTTGAAGCGATTTATATTCCCTGTAGTTAGAGTTTTTTACATACGCACCCAAACATCCGCAAGTTACTTGAAATTGCAGTTATTTAAAAAAAATTTATGTTTCCATTGACGAAAAGCCTGTCAGGTATTCAAATTCGGTCAAAAATGTTCTGGCTTGCGTTGTTTAAAACCGGAGAAAACTAAAAAAAAAACCAAACAGTAAATGTTTACTCCGAAAAGCTCTTTTCAATTGAAAAATCAGTTTGTTTAATATATTCATTATCTTACAAATACTAGTTAACTGTTAACAAGAACTTGACTTCTGTTTTATTATCTTGCAAGTTCTTATTAATGATAATTAATAATATAATTAATAATATTTGTAATTTGATAAATAATAATATATTTGTAAGATATTACAAATACTAGTTAACTGTTAACAAGAACTGTTAACAAGAATTTGTGACCCGTTTGGGGAAAAGAGTTAGTAATTAATAATTTAATAACTACTATAAACTCTATATATTTGTAAACACTGCATTGCAAAAGATGAAAGCAGTGAAGTTAAAATTACTTTTTCTTTTTTAAAACGAATTTCTGTGATGATAACAAAAATTAGTAAAATTAGCGGCTATCATCTAATGAAAACGCTATTTAATTTTTTCTTTGTTAAAATATTTTATTATTATCACGCTTTATAAATCCATGGCGAAAAATTCTGTGCTAAAATTTAATAAAAATTAAATAAAAACTTAATTTTTCATAAAGCAAAATATGTTAGCCAGAAATTCGTAGCGCTTGTGTTTGAAAAAAATGCATAGAAACATTTAGTTTTGACTATGTTTAAACGTACTATTTTTGTGTAAAATAAGGATGCTCAAATTACCCAGTGTTTTTATTGACTTACCCAGTTTAGAGTCCTAATATTGCAATAGCTTTAATTACTTTTTGAATAAAGACAAAACATAGTAAAAATTTTAATATTTTAAGAAAACTAATAATATCTTTCTGCAATTTATTTTTTAAAAATTTTGTATTTTTAAAAAATAATTATAATATTGTTTTGAGATTTGACTTAATAAAATTGAATAAGAAATTGTTGTTGTTGTTGTTGTTGTTGCGTAAAACAATTAGGGGAAAAGGTTGCATAAGTTGGGCATGTTAACATTGCATTGTTTTTTTTTACAGTCGAAATATTATATTTATATTTGTTTTTGCATGTTATAATAATTTAGTCTTTCCTTCTAATAAATAATTCATTAAAAAAAGTCTTTATCCCAAAAACTGCGTTATTTTTAACGAAACAACTCAATTAACTCAAAATAACATAAAAAAATAATTACATATTAAAAAAAAAAATCAAGTAAAGTTATCCTTAAAAGCTATAATAAAGAGGATAGAGTTTTTTATTTTAGCCAACTTGTTTTATTTCTAGAATAAAACATAAAAAATTAAATTTAATAATTTAATTAATAACTACCAAAATATAACAGGTTAAACTTGTGAGACTATTTAAAGTAAAATTAGAAACTTGTGTAGAGTAGGGGAGAGCGGGGTTGGTTGTCACACTTTTTACATTTTAGGCTGCTCAGCTTTTAATTTTCATCCAATCAATGCCAAACTTTGCACAAAGCTAGTTTAACTATTTTCAGTAACTGTTATAATATTTTTATGACATTGAGCGAAATATTTATTGCTGTAAAATCATTTTTCAAAGACCACTTCTGTGTGACAACTAGCCCCGCTCACGGGGTAGGTTGTCACATGGTGCGGGGTTGATTGTCACATTTGGATTTTGACAAGTTTAGATAAGAATTTAATGTAAAACGAGTACAAATTAATTTCGTTTATGTTTTACTAAGAAAAATAAAAATAAAATACTATAAGCTGAAATATATATATTTTAAATATAACACAATTAACAAATTTAGTTTATCACTATAAATGTTTTTAGGTTTGGTTTTTTAAAAATTATTGGATAAAGAACACAATTCACAAATAAACTGTTGTAAGCCTGGTGTGCATTCTTCATGAGCCCATTTTTGGCAAACCTGACATTGAATCCACTGTTCTCTTGATCGGCTGTTGGAAAATGATTCCAAACAATAGATGCACAGATACTCTTCATCTTCAGATGAATTCAAGACTATAGAAGGTTTTTTCGTAGCAAGATTTGATTTTATTAATTCTTTTTTACTTCCATTAGTAAATTTTTTTTATTAGTTTTCTTCTTTTTATAATTAGCAAGCCATGATTTGACAGGCGTGTTAGTAAGAATCATAGTTGACCGCTTTTTCCTACCTCTTTTTGATGCTAACCTCGGGCCTGCTTTAGGCAGAGGCCTAATACTCTCAGGTGGTATGATTGAATTGTTAAAACCTAATGTTGTGATTGGGTTCTGATTAGAGGTATTATTTGATACAACTGGATCTTCTATTGTTATGTCTACCTGACTATCTGGTATCTGAATAGATTCTTTAAATCTTTTATTTGATGGTTCTGGTTGCATTGAAAAGATTCACAGTCTTTTTTATTTGAATCAGCCTGTGAACAAGGTGGGTCAGGGCGATCAGTTACATAGTTAGGACAGTAACCATTTTCAGTAAACACATCAGGATTTAACGGGTAAATACCTGTTGCAGAAAAACCACTTGAAATATTGTGGGGAGATACAGCCTTTGGAAATGCAATGTTTACTATGTTTACTTTGGAAATCCAATGTTTCCAGGATTCATTACTAACAATGATGTCATAGCAGTATTTATGTAGTTTTTGAGAGGACCATAAACTGCCTTATCCAAGGGCTGCAACTTATGTGTGCAATGTGGTGGGAAGGTAAGCATTACTATTCCATTATTTTTTGCCAAATCTAATCCTTCAATACAAAGATAAGTTTCGTGATTGTCAAGCAACAATAAACAAGGCTTTTCTTTAGTAAATTTTGTATTGCCTACAAAATGTTTTATATATTTTACAAAGTTTTCTTCTTTCATCCAACCACTTGGATTTGTATCTCCTGCACTTGCTGTTGGTGCACTGAATAGGAAACGATCTTTAAAGTTTTTACGAGGAAAAATAAAAAAGGGTGGAATACTATTTCCAATAGCATTTATTGTGCATGCTAATGTTACAAGAGTTCCTCTTTCAGCTGACGTGATGGCTCCTACTTGTTTTAATCCTTTTTTCGCAATAACCTTTTTAGGTTGCTGTACAATAGTTACAGCAGTTTCGTCCATGTTCCAAATGTCATTTGGTGAGAACGAGTATTTTTGCATACAGTGCTGCAAATTGCTAAAAAATGATGCAACATTCTGCTTATTGAAACTTGTCGCTTGACTTAAACTAGTAGCTTCAGGTTGCCTAATGGAAATATTTGAATGGCGCTTTATAAATCCTGTAAACCAATCCTTACCAGCTTGTTCCTTTACAACCCAAGAATTGGGAACCTTAATATTATTTTTAATTGCTAGCTGGAAAGCAAGCTTTTTTACTTCGGTAGGAGTTAAACCAAAATATATATCTGCTGCTCGCAACAGGTAGGTGACCAGTTCTTTTTCTACTTTTTCTGGCAATATCAATCAACTTTTGTATCCTATAACATTCAGGGAGGTGGGGTTTTCAATTTTGTCAATTAGATCTGCTATAGAACCATGTGATGGGTTAGTAATAACAATTTTTTTACAATAACGTGCTAATGTTCTGTAATTAATGCCATGGTTTTTTGCTGCTGATCTAATAGAAATGTTATTAATATTTACATCTTTAACAGCACACATTATGACATCTCCAGAAGTATAACCTCTATTAGTTTTTCTTTTAAAATTTCGTACCATGTTTATTACTAAGTAAATAAAAATATTTGTAAATAATGTAAACAAAACATTAATATATATATATATATATATATATATATATATATATATATATATATATATATATATATATATATATATATATATATATATATATATATATATATATATGTATATATACATATATATATATATATATATATATATATATATATATATATATATATATATATATATATATATATATATATATATATATATATATATATAAACCCACTAAATATAAACGATGCACAAACTAAACAACAGCTAGTTGTTTAGTTTGTAAACAAAACAATAAACAGTTGAACTTCTGCAATCCTTTTTCTATAATTATACTAAACATTGGATCGGAATCTAAAGTTATGCACGTTGAAATAAAAATAATTTAGATTACAGATATTTAGTTAAACATATATAACACTTTGACTTTAGATTTTTAAATAATATCTTAAACATTAAAATATTCCTCAATAATGCGGAAAATAAACAAAGCCACTAAATATTCTGCAAGCGGCGTTTAATTTGCAGCGCATGGAGTCGAGGCAAGTGTGACAACCATCCCCATATATTTTGTGACAAGCAACCCCTTCTGAGTAAGTTGCTGGACACCTGTACATTTACCTAAAAGCGTGAAAATTTCATGATAATTTTTTACGGATTAAGTTACTCAAATGAATAAAGTACTTTATAAATCTACATTCAAAACACAATAAAATAATTTTCGTTTGGTAAAAGAAAATTTCTGAGTAGGCGAAATTTTACTTTTTCATATCTAAAACCTATAAAAACAAATAACTTTTCTTCTGCACGCTAAAAAAAGATAAAAATTACTGTAAAAATGTTTTTTTTATATAACATTTCCATTGTATAATTTGAAATTTCTATATCTTATTTACATTTCTTGTAATAAACTTTGTGACAACCAACCCGCGTGACAACCAACCCCGCTCTCCCCTACTTACAATACTCATAAACCCATAAGGTTTTATGAGTAAGCATTATTTATAAGCATCATTTAAAAAGTAAATAAAAAGTATAAAACTCAAAGAAAACACAAATTTTTACTTGAAGAAAAACAAGTTATTAATTAAAACCCAAATAATGCATCCGATGGTTCAAACCACATTTTAAAATTCCAGATAATATATTGTTTTAAATGTCATTCTTATGCCTCAATATATTGTTTTAAATGTCATTCTTATGCCTCAATAAAAAATCGCTTATGACTAAGCTATTTTTTATTGAGGCATATCATATAATACGTATCATAATTTTATCTCTAAGTGTTATATTTAAATAAGCTTCTTAAACATTGACTGTAAATTTTAGAATAAATAATTTTTTGA